CGTATTATACTTCTTGTCAGCAATCAGTTTATCTATGTTCTGATTTGATCTTCTGCTTCTTTTGATCATCCATTTTACAAAGGTGTAAAATTTACAATTATCAAAATGGCCGTTCTCTCAGAGCTGCTTCGGTGAGTAATTTTGCCGCCCTCGTCACCGTCCTAATGTGTCAGCGTGCACAGGCTGAGGGCTGATTGGTTATTTCCTGGAAATCACCCCTGCGACAGTTCATCGCAGAAATTTTATTTAAAAAATATATATATTTACTGCATTTTCGGACCTTGCGCTCACGAGTGATGCGGGCTTCATGAAATCCTTTGGGGGGCTGCATGTTGTGCAGGCCTGACTTAATCTGATGCCCTCCAGATACATTGGCTAAAACTCCCATCATCAGCCCCAAACCAAAGCTGCCTAATGATTATGGGAGTCATGTTATGGTGGCTGTCTACATGATAAAATACTGTTTTTCCTCCCCAAATGTTCTTATCCATAACAGAATATTGACTTTTTTTTTAAATTGGGAAGCACAATATATTCCTGTTCTCTCACTGAAATACAAATGCTGTTCAACAATCATGACTTGCATCAAGAATGCTAATGTTTGTCCTTGTTTGACAGATTTTAAGTTCTTACTATTTGCTTTTGCAACCATATATTATATTCAATGTACTCTGCTAATACTGGACAAATGTTATAAGTTATCTAAACCAGCATGTCTGTTTTAGCATTCTAAGAGGAATTAGGGGTGTTTTTGTTTGCATTATATTTCTCTGATTTTGTTTTTCTTTTTTCTTTTCAATATTTTTGGGTACAAAATAACTGCTTATTGTTTCATGCTGTATATAATACATTTTGTAAGTATAGATGCCAAGATATTAAATTATATTTTACAGATAACTTAAATTGAAATGTAACTTAAAGTAATATAAGCTGTGTTGATTGAAATGTTATCAGAGTCTTTGAGCTAAATGCAAGATGTTGGCGTTCTGGAAACCAGCCAGTCCTAATTCTTTATTTGGGGTTAATATTTAACAATTAATCTGGCTTATATACTCATTTGACTCAAGGGAAGAAGAGAGAAATATACAGTATTGCATCTTCAAAGTCTGCTTTGACATGCTTTCTAATTATTGGTCCCAGGAAGCTCAATCACTAAACAGTGAAACAGATTTGGGTTAAGTCTGCATTGGTAGAATTGGAGCTGAAATTTGCTCAAAGGCATCTCAGTATTGATTCTCTGCCAATTATCTGGAAGAGTCTGATACTTTAAATCAGAAAAGATGATTATCAGAATTGTTAATTAAGCTTGTTCAGCCAGCCCACACTGGGAAGTTTTGTTACATCTCTCTTAAGTTTATGTCTGATTAATTTTGTTAGAAATGCCTATAGTCAGCATTTCACTATCTTTGCATTGAAAGCATCACTGATAATAAGCTTTGTCTCAAAAAAGTGTGTGTTGAGTTCTGTAACAGCCACCTATATTGTAAATGTTTGTTAGCAGAAGTCATTCATCTTAACCTCTTTTTTAGCACCAAGATGATAAATACTATATACATATACATGAGTCCACATAAGATTTTTCCTTCTGCTTTATAACAGCTTTTTAATAAGAGGCATATAAAAGAAAAATCTCACAATACGTGTGTTAATTAAAATGTGAAACTGGCATATTATTCAGTAGTAGCTTGTTTACTTGCTTAAAGCCCATTATAAAGAAAACATATTTTTTTAATTATAAAAAAAAACCTTCTTTTTACAGTTGATTACAAGAGAGAGAATGAAACAAGTGTAGATAAACTATTTTTAATATGAACGTATAGTTTTTCATAATTTAAAGCCTGACAGGATGCATGCAGTTGCCAGAATAATCAAATTCTCTGCTGAATTTTCTTTTTATGGTATGTCTGATTTATGGCTAGCTTACACAGATTAACCCACTTATTTTTTTAAAACAGCTGATCTTCAACTTAAATTGTCATGAATGTAATACTTTGGTGGCAACCATATATCAACTTATTTGAGGGAAAGTCCAATTTAAATTAAAAGGGCTTTCTTTTTGCTTGAGGCTAATAGAGGTTTGCCATTTCTCTCATTGTTTTATTACCTTCCAAAGGAGGTAACATGTAAAAATAAATTTTAGTATCTAAGCTGCTACAGGACATCTTTATTTTTTCTTATTAGAGCATATGTTGATTATGTTAGCTGTCAGTAATTTGTTATGAAGTGTGACCACACTTTTTATGCTTTGCTGTTACTAGCAGTTAATTGTATGGAGCACTTTACTGTGACAGCCTACAAGAACCCTAGTAAGAATCTTTAGTTGAAAGCCTTGATCCAATCAGCCATAGCATCTCCTCTGTTCTACGCCATTATTGCTCTGATTGGTTTACACAGCCTCAAGATGAAGTAAGCTATTTGCTTTTCATGTTGGAACCAGTGAGGAGTTGCCCAGTTGCAATACAGAAGGTGGTTAAAGAGCAATAAAAATACCGTGCTTCAGACCTGTTATTTGCATTTACAGCTGTGTGCTGATAGCATACCTATTAGCATATACATCTGAAAAGCCCACAGCGGTTGGACATTTACAACATCCTGTTGTTTGGCCCGTATTCGGCATCTGTTAGCACAACTTTCAACAGGACTCTTTAGAAGGGGAGCGGAAATCTAGGGCACCATGACATGGTGGAGCAGCTGGATGATCATGTTAGAATAAGATGCCTGCAGAGTCTTACAAGGGCAGGATTGCAAAAAGAGGTAGACCAATTGGAATTGTAAAACAATTTAAACAGTTGGGGTGGGAAGAAGGGGAGAAATAACCTCACAGAGAAAGTATGGATAGTCTTGGAAACTTCTCTACAAAGAACCTCCTATGAATGGAAGGGTTGGAAATTGTTGACGTGTTTAAAAAAAAATAATGGTACTTTATTATCATATTCCCTATGTGCATCTGCTTTATGTTGCAAATTTCCAAACGTTTAAACGTTTCCAAACTGTAAGACCCCATGAGGGATGACCCCAAATTTTTCCTCTTTATTTAGCCTGTGTCATGAAGTATAAC